GATAGATAGGTAGATAGATAGATGGATAGATGGATAGATAGATAGATAGATAGAGCAGATCTGAATTTCACAGTAGAGAGGATGTCTTAGGATATGTCCCAGGTATTTTATTCGAGATTCAGAAACGTGGGTAGAAGAGGGATTACAGGCTGGGAGAATTGGTTGAGAAAGGGAAAGGAGGAAGTCGTTAGAGCAGTGTGAGTCAGAAGGGCTGATAACTCTGTGATGGTAAAGAGTTTTAAAATTGACAATTTAGCGGAGAGCTTTATAGTGGAGTGAGTGAGTCAATCTTTGAGAGTTGTGCTGGAGAGTATATTTGAGATTCAGATCCGCAAGGAAGATGGATTGTACAGTTTGGGAGTAGACCCTAAGTTTTTTTGGGGGGGATAGGTGTGTGTGTGTGTGTGTCGAAAAAAGCAAGAGATTTGAATGCTGTGAATGCTTGGGAGCTCCGATATTAATAAATCACTAAATTTGTCTGAAAAGGTGGTGCCCCAAATCCCAGCATATCATCAACATGGTTTGCATCTTAAATAACAAAAAGAACAAAGTGTCTAAGAGAGGGGGGTCTCCAAACACAAAAAGCTGATGTTTCCCACCAAAAGTGATGCAAAATGACTTTCTCTAAACAAAAAAATCTTAAAATAGGTTTCCCACACCTCTCCAAGTGTTTTTTTCTGAAATCGGTCACTTCGCGGTCGAGCAACACAAACGGGTACGGCTTGCCCTCCCCAGCCAGAGGCGCAGGACCAAGTGCCATTGACTTTGGCGTAGCCTGTCGAGGTTGCATCAACTTTCAGCTGAGTTGCTAGAACCAGAAAGGATGATGGGCATCTTCATGCATGTGTATAGTCTCATGATATATATATATATATACGTATATATATATACACATAATATATAATATATATATATATACGGTATATATACGATATTATAGGTGTGTATGTATAACATTGTTGGTGCATGATCTAAATGGTACATCCAATGGAGGGGTGGGATCGGGCTGGTCAGAATGTAATGTTCGATGTTCCATATAAAACCATACAAACCATGTTTAAACTAAAGCCATATTAAACATGATTAAACCATCCACTTTCGGGCTCGAGACTTGCTCACAAACACTGGCCTGTGGGTGGCTGATCTGGATCTTCGCAGCCTATCTGACACAGGTCCGGTCCCAGACTTGGCACTTCATCCGCATCGGTGTTGTTGTCCTGTGCTGCTCTGGCACAAAACCGCAGGGGAGCTACGCCTCATGGACATGAAAATGAAAATGTTTCATCAAGCAGGCAAATCGTTTCCCAAACGATTGGGGATTTGGGGGCGCACAATTTTTCCATAAACCCATTTTTTTCACAAATTTGTGTGTGTGACTTGAGAAAAGAACACCTGATTGCCTTTGGATTAGTTACGCACCCTCAGGGCACCAAGAATTTGGACCCCAATAATCATCTGTCCAAAACAAGCAATCTTGGAGATGTGTAGGGATGTTGGAGTAAAACATCCCCCTGCGTGAAAAAGACCCAACCACTCTGAATGGGAAACCACACGCTATTTTGATGACAAACTTACAGCTACGACTACGACCATGGTTTCCTTTTTTTTGTTCCATGCTCCTGTCTTTTTTTTGCACAATTTTACCCTGAGAATTCAAAACTTTAGCGGTCCGGACAGCTGGTGTTGATGGCCGGCCCAAAGAAAGGGAACCTCTGCGACCGGATACTTGGAGCGATTGGAGCGCCTCCAAAACATCTCTGTAGGGTTTAACCACTGTCGAACCCTCGAAAAGTGATCTTTAATCCCAAAGATGAGGAAATATACAGTAAGGACACTTGGAAAGAAAAGGAAACCAAAAAAAATGGTCAGATCATAAAGTCCGCGACGGTTTTCCTTGAAGCAACTGCTTTCATGAACGTGAAGAAAGAAAGACCCTCGGTTTCTGAGGTTTTCTGATGTTCACTAGCTTGCGGGCCATGCCCAGCTTTGACTAGATACTACTAGTTTGGTGCAGCTTCGTGATGCCTATGCTCACAGGCAAAACACTCGAAAAAGTTTGCCCAGAGTAGATGACTCGAGTCTCTTCTCTAGCACGAACCAAACCTTGATCTCTGCCCGTCCCATCGTTCAGATTAGCAACTTACAAGGGATCCTGCAAGCACCACCTGCTGCTGGAGATGTGACATCCAGCCAAGTGAACAAATGCCTTGGGGGATCTGTCCTGAATGGTGACGCCTACTGGTGGGAGGCATATCCCACTTGGAGAATTATCCCACTTAGAAACTGGTTAGTAAGTGGGGTTAGAACCCAATTGTAAATAGGATACTGTAACCCTATTGGGAAACCTACTAATCAGGACTATTAGATCCTTCAAGCAAACCTCTTCCGCATCGACTGTGCAACAACTCAACAGCCTCCCAGTTTCTTCTTTACCACCGAGCTGAGTGGCGGTTCTTGCAATTAAAAAGGAGCAGTCAACTGGGGACGTGGTGGTTTCAACCAACCCAGTGGCTTCGATCCCCACAGTTGCCTGCGGGCACCGATGTGCACACATCTTCATGGCGACAGAAATCCTGCAGGGAAAAATCGGGTGATCTGGAGCCCCTGCGTCACTTTCCGTTTCTGGTGCCCTAAAGGTCCAATGATCAACTGGTGGTTTTAATCAAAACGGCTATGTGCACAGATTCAGTGATGCTTCAGTGCCAAACATGGTGAAACCGCTCAGCTTTGCTTTAAATCTTAGCCTGTCCCCTCAAATGATGCCCCATGATCTTAATCAGATTCATCATATTCATCAGATTCATCAGAATCATCATTCCGATGAGAATTTCTCCAGGACACCGATGATTCAAATAGACTCAAGGATGGATATGTGTATATATATATATCTATCCATCAAAATCAGACTCTTATCATGATGATTCCCTGAAAAATATCATGCGTCCCTAATGATTATAGCAACCCAAAAAAAAGATTCCTTTCCGGTGTGAGGTTTCAGGATGGAAACGTTCGATTTTCTGTTTTCCCGAAAAAAGTTCCATCCTATTTTCCAGGTGTCCAACTGTTCCATCCATTTGGGGCCAAAAACGTCATACCAAAGCCAAAGGTCCAAGTCGGGTGGTCCACATGCCACGATGGGCGTGCAGCCCAGGTAATCTGCCTGCTCAAGTCACGAGTCAGATGGTAAAGGAAGAAGATCGGGTAGTTGAGGAAGTCCCACCATCCAATAATTTAAGGAAGTTAAGTTGATGACTTAAGTGGGGAGAATGAGGAGCTGGCAGTTGTCGTTGGAAGTTTAAACAGTTTAAACTTAAACCATCAACTTGGATCTCCTACTTGACCACATAAAACTCCCGAACGCTTCACGGGTTTCAACCTGAGCCCAGTATCGTGCCTTTGAAATGGAGGGAATTCCACCCAATTTATGGCCATTGCATGAGGGAAATGATGAAAAACCAAGGGATATTCTTGGAGTACCCCATTTGTGGAAACCAATGGGCCAATCTTCAGGGTTCAAAAAACATGAGCTCACGACAAAGGTGCACTTCCACGGTCTGCGCGACCCTGCGTATTCTGAAGTTGGTTCGGAATAAGAATGGCACAAAACCTGCATTTTCAGCAAGAGATCAAATGTTTGGCCCTGATCCCGGAAGCGTATGAACGTTCAAGCGCATAGGGCATCTGATGTGTCAATCGTTGATTTCTAGCCATGTTTGGTCATCGACAAGTCTTTGAGATTTCCCCATTCCTAGATCCTTTTGGATCAGCTGCCTTTGGCACAGAAGCACAGCCTCCCTTGAAACGTTTGCATTTCTTAAAAACAAAACAATCTTCAATATCAGTAGCATTTGGAAAACTGAAACAAATAACAATGACATTGGAGAGGATTACTTTTGCATTTGTGTGTGTGTGTGTGTTTGTCCACTTAACTTGTTTGGTCTACCATAGTAACATCATTCGCATATGTAGATATATATATATATAGATAGATAGAGAGAGAGAGAGAGATACACACACACATAATCACTATATGTAAAGACATACATACGCATAAATATATGATGTGGTACAATGTGTACGTCACACCTGTCCATCTTTATATCTATTGTACATCTGCCCCACATCTCTTTCTGCTCTGTTCCACCTCTGCTTGGCAAGTGCTGCCAACCGCAGTGCACACGCGCCGAGGTTGGCCAGCAAAGCCCACCCGACATTGGACGATGAGGGCAGTTGGACCTGCCGCGTCATCATCCACGTACTCCTTGGCAGGATGGACCGATGGGTTTTGTTATGTTTTCTTGGGAAAACTCATGGGAAAACCATGTTTTTGTTGCCATCAAATATGTTGATTTCGTGGTGAAACTGTGTTAAGTGTCAACCAAATCCCACAAGTGATGGATCACAAAATGCTGCGGAGCATTCAAAAAAAGGGCTTCTCTTGCGGATGCGATCCATTCGGGTTCAGTAACATGAGCCTCTTGGAGAGACCCAAAGTGGGCGCATCCGAGTATCCCAGGGGAAGACTGACTCGTTGGTGAGGTTTGGTTCAGGACACTCGCGAATCAGACAGTTCCCATCTTCAAACTGCAGTCCATCATTGACCTCACAGGTCTCCAAAGTTGAGGAAATCCACTTGCCCTCTGGTACTCAAACATTCTAATTGGAAATCACCATATTTGGTGGGGAAATCATCATTGAATACAATATCACTTGTCGGATTGATCGTTGCAAGCTTCGAGTACCGGAAGATGCGTTATACCACAAAGAAGCCTCATTATCCTCATTGGTACTTAAAGTCAGGTCTTGAATCTGGTTCAATCGTGGCATTTCAATAAGCAGGCCCGGTCAGCAAATACGAATCATTTGGGTGATGGGTCAGAAAATTGGGTACCCAAAATGTGGGTAGCGTTTAAAAAGCTGCCAAAATCTACGTTTGGTGGGCCCTTCAAACCCTTCAAACCCACACATGCTCTGTCGACATCGGCCACGTCCGCGGAGTCTCGCCTGTGTGTTTTCGATGGGGCAGGTGGCATTGAAGTCCATCCCGGTGTAGACCGAGTTGCATCGAATGGTACAGCTTTCACCCCTCGGTGATCCAACGAGCACATGACCGGTCCATGCAGCACGAATCCATGGACCCCAACCCACAAACAAGCAATGACCCCAATAGCTGGGCCCCAAGAATTTGGGATATCCAAACAGCTTGTTTGCTAGGATGGACTATCTTAGAGGAAGCTTAGCATAGCAAAAAAAATGCAAGAGCTGAGAGATGGTGTTGCAATCAAGTCTCCTCGGTACTGACATGCAGTCGCTCATGTCATACTGGCATGGGTCGAAATTTCCTTGGGCATAAATCAGGATGGGACTCAACCCACTCAAAGCAGATTCAGAGCTGAGTTCCTACCAAGTGATTTTCGATGCGGTTTGCAGGGGTTATATCCCAACTTGCTGAGGCTATAACCATGGTTACAATTGCCAATTTAGAAAATCTGAAAATCCCACCTGCACCTCCAAGCACAGGAACAGAATGTCTATGTAAATTTGCTTGCAGTTTACTACACCTGCAATTTCTAGCCCTTGTGCATCTCTTCATTTTGATGGGTCAGATCTGTTTGCTCCGAGAAAATTCCCCCCTCTTCCCTTGGCCAGGCAATCTTCACTGGCACATCAACAATAACGATCTGATATATAAATCATATATCCATCGCGTAGACCCAAACAAAAAGCTAAGGACCGGTGATTCTTGTTGGTATTGTTAGCAGTACATGGAGGTTTCCATAAATGCGGACACCCCTAAATCATCCATTTCTAGATCGGATTTTCCATTGTACACCATCCAGCTATTGCAGTATCCCCATTTCAGGAAACCTCCATATGCCTGAATTCTTCCATGGTTTTCTCAGAGTTTTCTCCTCATAACCCACGACATCAAGCTGCCTGGGCCACACGGGACCATTTCAACACAACCTGCGGTGCACTTCCAGGGATCCCCGGATGAAGGGAAGGGATCTGCAAAATGCTGCCTAGTATGATATCAATATTTGCATACAATATTGTGTAGCTATTTAAATATTTACAATATTATATATTATGTATATATATATATATACAATATAATCTATGTTCATTGTATCTACATACATGCATAATATATACATACATGTATTCGCACATGTACATATATATATATACACATATTGTGTACCGAAGATCGACTTGGATTTTTGCGCGCCTTGGAGGAGGATTTCTGTCTCGCAAACGCGTCCAGGCCCTGGGGGGTTCAAATTGTCTTGGGGGAGGCAACTGAAGTTTGAAACCTAAAATTGTACCTCCAAAGTTTCCACCTGGAATTACGCAATTTAGCACTCCAAAACCTTCGGTCTCCAAATTGGGTACCAAAAATGGGTACCCAATGTCTTGCTACCACAAGTGGAGTGGATAGAGTCGGATAGAGAGACCATGAAAAAAAAACATGTTCCATTGGTTTTGTTTAATCGAAACATAATAGCAGAAGATTGTGCTGACCAAACAAATTGCATGAAAAACTAAACTCCAAACAAAACATAATCAGAAGATTGGGCTGGCAAAAAGTGCTTGCTCTATATGACTGTCAAAAAACTGTCTGCTTGACCGAGATAGAAATTTCCCTGCTGCGATGGTCCTTAAATTTTGAATACATACAAACATGTGTATATGTATATATATATACATTTTAGGATACACTCCTATTACAAAACATAAAAGTTGGTATCGTCATACATATAATCGAAAACCCGTATTTTCTACCCCAGTAATAACGATGTCATCCCCGTAGTGGCCGTGAGAACCCACAGTAGTGGAACGCAAATCCTCACTTCAGCGCTTGAGGCCTGAAGGCAAACAGAAGACTTCTGCGCTTCCAGTGTAGCCATGTGCACATTCCCAGCCATTCTCGGCGTCCCTGCTCCTACGATAGCCTGACGGCCAGCTTCTGTATACGAAGGGGGCTAAGGAGCCATAAATACACAAAGAAAGAAAGAGAGAAAAAAAAAAATGGAATGTGTGTGTGTCATGTGTTATATAGAATCCCATCCCCCTACCTCTATTTCAAACACCCTGTAAATGGTCCCAAATATCTGTACATCCTCTATCTGGGAAGTGTTTCACCTATTATAGGGTACGTATACAGATTCTCAGTAGGTCCTTCTTCAAATGGTTGGTTCGCCAATGGAAAAATGAACATCATCTTGGACAAATCCAGTCTCTTTGTTGGCCATTCCACTCAAGCCATGTTTTTTGTTCCCTCCTCACCTGCCGGCACAAAGTCACACTCCGTGATGCAATTGGGCATCTGGCCCATTAAGGGCTGATCCGGGTCGGTATTGCCTCTCCAGCTCGCAACAGAGCCGTGCGAGGCAACTTCAATGTGGGAAAAAAATGCCAAAAGAAATGAATTGCATTTACATATGCATATATACATATATATATATATACATATATGTATATATACACATATATATATATATATACATACGCCGACCCCGGCTGACGCAGCAGCCACCAGCAGCCACCAGGGTCGGCGGCTTGGCACCATCCGGCCAGGGGCCCGCGGGGCCCGGAGCTGGCCGTGGCAGTGCCGTAAGGAGAGAGGGGCCGCCGCCCCTGCCGCCGAACACCCCCCTCACCCCGTACCATCAAAATCCCCTGCGTTTTACGGTGTTTTTTGCTGTTCCCATTTTTTCCCATTTTTCGGAGTTTGTGGCTGAAGATGGGTCAACATGGGCCAACATAGGCCGCAAGATGGGCCAACATAGCCCCAAGATGGGCCAACATAGCCCTAAGATGGGCCCAAATTGCCCTCAAGATAGGCCAACATAGCCCCAAGATGGGCCCATATAGCCCCAAGCCGTTCACAACAAACCACGAACCACAAACCAGAAACCAGAAACCCCAAACCCCAAACCACAAACCACAAACCACAAACCACACACAACCACAACAACAACAACAACAACAACAACAACAACAACAACAACAACAACAGCAACAGCAACAGCAACAGCAACAACAACAACAACACCAACAACACCAACAACACCAACAACAGCAACAACAGCAACAACAACAACAACAACGACCTCCACAGCAATAACCACAACGCCAGCCACAACCCATGCCGCCCCAAAGACCCCTGCAACCGCCGCCCACCTAGTCCCAAGCTACCCCCCGATAGCCCCAAGCTGGACCTACATAGCCTCCCGATGGGGCAACATAGCCTCGAGCTCTTGCTCCCTGCTCGACCCCTATCGCCTCAACATGGGCCCCTGGCCGGCTGTCGCGCGTAAGCGCTTAAATAGAGCTCTAGTCTCTCTGGGACGCTCGTGGGGCAAGCCACTCGTGTGGAGCCGGCGGAGCGGAATTCTCGTTTTCCGGGGTCGGCGGCAGGGGCGGCAGCCCTTATATGTGTATGATTTCAAACTGTTTCTTTTCGAACATGTCAATACAAGATACCGCGTGATTTCACGGTTTCGATCAAGTGCTGAATGTTATTGATTGACTATTCTATGTGTTTGAAGTGGCAAAAATGAAAGCACTACTCCTACCTGGTACACCTCTCAAGCAAATCACTTCATTCCTCAACTGGCCTATTGGACAGTAGAGCTCTGCAGATTGTCCCGTGCATGGCGCTTGACAGGTGGCCATACAGCTTCGACCAGAGGACACGACATCACCTGATGTCTTGCGGGCAATAAAGATGTTGAAATCAACCAGAAAATTGATGAAAATTGGCAATTTAGCCAACATCGAAAGACCTTGGGAGCGTCAAAAATTGAAGATGCAGATGCCAACTCTTGTTGACACTAGATCTGATGTCTCGTTGGGCATCGCTCTTTGCACCTCTAGTCAACTACAGTCTGGAATACTCCCGGCGATCTTAAAGTGGCCACCCAACCTTTCCACATGGATGGATTCTAAACTTTATAGACCATCACCATCTTGTGCCCCATACATTTGTACGGTGCAAGGGTCATCACCAGATTGACCCGTTTTTTCCCCAGGAACGTGGGTAGTTTTCACCCCATCGAATGTCTCTGGCAATGGGCTATATACGGCTATGGATGATGGTATATCCCCCCCAAAGAAAAATGCCATATTCAAATACCATATCTATGGTACATATATATATATATTCACATGAAAATGGTGATGAACCAGGGGTGCCCAATTTTCAGACAAACCCGATCTCTGGTGACATTTCTTGGCCTCGTGCCGTTGTCATCCCACGACCAATGATCGGCCAGTGGTAGATGCTCAAAAAAAAACAAGTGGGTGGTATCTTGATACGATTCCCCTGTGTCGCGCAACATGCGTATATAAATATTATACACATATATGACATAACATCAGATAAAATAACATTGCATGAGATAACATTACATTACATTAAATTACATTACATTACATGCCATACACACATATATTGTATATACAAATATCATATATCACATATGAACAGAAGATGTACATATATCAATAGATATCATATATCATAGATACACTCTTCATATATTTTCATAGATATAGGAAAATGCTCCTAGAAATGACCCTCGCCTTTGTGTCAAGGCACAATCTGGTGCAATGAGGCCGCAGGGCGGCACATTGAGCTCCAACGGAGCACAGGGCACCGTGGGGCGGCAGTTGGCGAATTCGATGCGCCAGTCGCAGTCCGGATCCACCTAGGCTGGTGGGAATGGGAGGGTGAAGCTCACCGGGGGATATCCCGAGTTAATGCCAGGTTCATGGGAAAAATGATGATCAACCATAGAATGGAATGGGATATTTCCAGACAAAAGCGGTATTTTCATGTGTTGGTGCCAGTTCATTATGTGCCATGTAACCGGGGGCGTAGTTGTGTTTAGTGACTGATAACCACAATGGATATAGATACATCCTACAACATGGAGTTTCAATGGTGGTTCTCGTTTTTTTTGCTGCTGTTATTTGAATACTCCAATCCAATCACCAGGGGGGTTCTTCCAAACAAACCCATCAGTCCCTGGGCATTTCGTCCGCAAAAACAGGGATGGCCTTGCCATCATGGATCATTAAAGATTCCTGGCAGTTGGTTGACTACATCCCATTATATCCCAATACGTTCCATACTATAGATCATGATGCATGGCGGTAACCATCTATAACCTGGGATGATTATACCATACTATACTATATTATAGTTGGAAACCGGGATCCAACCGCAGAGAACCATCCATGGTCGAAACCATGCCGACCATACCTTCAGCTGAGACACTGTACATGTCACAGTGAGATCCCCAGCGAAGGATTCCTCAAGAAATGACCCACCAACCATTGCAGTATGTTTGGTAAAATAATAGTATAGTATAGTATAGTATAGTATAGTATTAGTATTAGTATTAGTATTAGTATTAGTATTAGTATTAGTATTAGTATTAGTATTAGTATTAGTATTAGTATTAGCATTAGTATTAGTATTAGTATTAGTATTAGTATTAGTATTAGTATTAGTATTCGTATTCGTATTAGTATTAGTATTAGTATTAGTATTAGTATTAGTATTAGTATTAGTATTTAGTATTAGTATTAGTATTAGTATTAGTATTAGTATAGTATAGTATAGTATAGTAAAGTATAGTATAGTATAGTATAGTGTAGTGAAGTGTAGTCTAGTCTAGTCTAGTAAAGTAATGGCATGGTATAGTGGAAAACAAAATACGGACTATCATTACATGCATGATGTGTTCCAAAAAGACAAAAAACTTGTTGCATTCTTGGGATCCCATCAACCAAAACCACAAACCTTGACCCAGCCTTCTGGCCATTGCTCCATCTGTAGCTTCGCGTACCATTCCATCCATCATGGGATCAATACAAATATGTGTATGTATATATATATAATTATATGTGTACATATATATATATATATACATTGTTCGAAGAATATCCCCTAGCAACCATTCTAAACTAAAACGTGTGATCACTGCGGATAGTTGAGGAGGAATTTCCTCGCATGACCCAAAAGTTCAATTTGTAATCGTTCAGAAATGAAACTAAATCATTCTTGGGGGATGGCCAGTTAGTGGATTGGAAAATTAAAATATCATGAGTAAAAGCATAGTGGTTTTACTGAATGTAGGGAGGGTCCCACATCTTGCAGGTACCAAACCCATAGAAGTCAATTCAAATTGGATATAGTGGGTTTTATACAAGACAGCTACATATATATATATATGTATATGTGTATATATGTATATATGTATGTATGTATGCATGCATGGATGTATGTATAGATAGGACAGGGTAGGATAGATTTTGATAGATATTAGATAGGTATTAGATAAATATTAGATAGATACTAGATAGATTTTAGATAGATTTTAGATAGATATTAGATAGATATTAGATAGATATTAGGTAAGTACTAGATAGATATTAGATTGATATTAGCTTGATATTAGATAAATATTAGATAGAAATTAGATAGATATTAGATTGGTACTAGATAGGTATTAGATAGACATTAGATAGATATTAGATAGATATCAGATAGGTATTAGATAGACATGAGACAGTTAGATAGATATCAGATAGATATTAGATAGATATTAGATAGATATTAGATAGATATTGGATAGATATTAGATAGGTATTAGATAGATATTAGATAGATATTAGATAGATCGATATCATATAGATAGATATTAAATTATTAGATAGATCTTAGATTGATAATAGATAGACAATTATTAGATAGATATTCGATTAAATATTAGATAGATCTTAGATAGATAATAAGTAGATAATGTAGTAGGTAGGTAGGTAGATAGATAGATAGTTAGATAGATAGGTAGATAGTTAGATAGATAGATATCCCACTATATTCCCAGGTATATCCCAAAGTATATCCCATTCCCCTAATGTTGAAGACACCCATTCTATGGACCCAAGCATGTTTTCCAACCCCCTGCTAATCATGGCTTGTGGAAGGTGTTTAACTCGATATTCCCATGAATATCCCACTTGGAGGATCATCCCAATTAGTAAGTGGTTGATAAACTTAGTTAGCAAGTCCCCATTCAGTGGGGTTATCCATTTATACATGGACTACAACTTTTTTCGTAACCAGTTACGATCCGTGGGATGATCCTCCAAGTAGCTTGTTGATTGAGAGAGGTACAATCATCAATAATGGAATAATAAGCATGATATAATGCCCAATGATATTATATATATACACAGAGTTGTATCCAATTATATCCCCAGGACTATCCCATGAAATCCCCATATTTTCAGCACCCTGGGCCCAGCGTCATCGCACTCGAAGTAGCCGCGGCTCTCCACCCGCGCCCGGCGTCCGCTGATGGGGTCCGTGGCGAAGAATGAGGCAGCCAGGCCATCGCTGCGTTGCGCCGTGAAGCTGATGTTGTAGCCCTGGACCACTGGATCTCATGGGATTTATATAACATATATAACATATATAACATATATATGTATGTATATATATATATATGTATATTGTGTATATATGTATATTGTGTATATGTGTATATGTGTATATGGTCACCCCCACACATGATCTACCTCCGACATCTTCTTCTATGTTTTCTTCCATTGTGAGCATATATATATACATTATAAGACATACGTATATTATTGATGAATTATAGTAATTCACTCATCTGAAATAACACTATTTTGAGATACTTACCCCTATTGACCATCCTTTCAGTGAGGTTGCAGTGAGGTCGTTTTACTTTATGCAAACATATCTATAGACTGTATATGTATGTATAAATCAAGGTATCTAATCTAGTTTATTCATGTGTCTGCTTCATTAATATATTCATGCATACATGTCCAGCAATGGTATGGGCATATACAACACGGATGATTCTCAAGAAATGAAAATTAAATTAGTGAAAGGTCACTGTAACCAACTGTACTGGCGAGAAAAATGCGAGGAAAAAGGCTGATTTGGCCAGCCAAAATGGGGATTAACCCAAGCAACACAAGGGGTCTTGTAGGCTTGGATTCATGGAATATACTGAATCAGGATATAGTTAATATAGTATAAGGTAAGCTGCAGTAAGAAAGGATAAAAACAAAATGATGCGCTTCTAGATTCTAAATACGCCGGCCTGCTTGCGTGTCTGATTGAGTGGTCCTGAATCGTCTCCACCCCTCCCCTGGGAAGTAGCTGCTACGAAAATTGTCTCGGGCAAGTACCTGCTGCCAACGTTGTGCACGGTTGCATCTTCTCCTCTTATTGTCTTTTATGACTTTGCTTTCATCAATCCGACCCAACCCACTAGAAGTACTGCATATGTCCACGCCAAGCAGTTTTGTACCAAAGGAAATTTTCACTGCCACACGCGCTTAAGCACTTGGGCTAACTAACAAGCTCACTGCCGGGGCGCGCGGGCTGGTGTTTCAAATGCCTCAGCCAAACATTTACCCCAGACCGCTGTAATCAATACACTCCCAGCACAACACTGGGAAGCTAGTTGCACAGGGGATGCTACGAGCACGCAAGCAACCTCAATTCGCACGGCTCAAAAAAGAAGTAGCTCAGAGAAGAGTTGCTTCGGGGAAGAAAGAAGTAGCTCAGAGAAGAGGTAGTTTGGAGAAGGAAACGCTCAGAGAAGAAGTAGCTGGGGAGAGAGATAGCACAGAGAAAAGCAGGCTTACTCAGTCGGTCCTTGAGTCATTCGTCATTCACTTTCATGAATAATCAAATTGCAATGCTAAAAGGTAAATACCTAAATTTAATCAGTAACAAATAGACACCTAAATAGGTACATAAGTGCCTCGAAAATAGATAGACAACTACACAAATACATCAACACATAAATCTATTGAAAAAAAACATGCCTCTCTATATGTATATGCATATATATATAAATATACGTATATAATTGTAAATATATATATATATATCATATGTGAATATATCATATATACATCCGATATTGTAATGTTTGTATCTTTAAAGGGTGTCCCACCTCTGGAAGACTCGCCGGGATGGGACAGTCCAAGGTACACGTCCTCGTCTGGGTGGGCTGCCCCCCCGTTGCGTTTTCGCACCAAATCATAGGATAATCATGGTATAATTACTTCAACAGGTGTATAATCAATAGGATATATCAATGGTATATATATATAGATAACTTGCTATGATAACTATATGTTGATAACTTACTATGATAAGTATATATATTGATAACGTACTATGATAACTATATTTTGATAACTGAATTTGACAACTATATGTTGATAATTTACTCTGATAACTATATATTGATAACTTATTATGCTAACTATATTGATAACTTACTATGATAACTATATATTGATAACTTACTATGATAACTATATATTGATAACTGAATTTGACAACTATATGTTGATAATTTACTCTGATAACTATATATTGATAACTTATTATGCTAACTATATTGATAACTTACTATGATAACTATATATTGATAACTTACTATGATAACTATATATTGATAACTGAATTTGACAACTATATGTTGATAATTTACTCTGATAACTATATATTGATAACTTATTATGCTAACTATATTGATAACTAACTATGATAACTATATATTGATAACTTACTATATGTTGATAACTCTGATAACTATATATTGATAACTGATAACTTACTATGATAACTATATATTGATAACTTACTATGATAACTATATACTGATAACTGAAATTGACAACTATATGTTGATAATTTACTCTGATAACTATATATTGATAACTTATTATGATAACTATATTGATAACTTACTATGATAACTATATATTGATAACTTACTTTGATAACCATTGATGGGATAATAACAGGCTATATCAATAACACTCATATTGGTGAATGTGGTAAACCCACAATGCCATAGACCATGCCCCAAGTCATCACCATGTTGGATGGGATGGAATCACCATCATCAAATGGTAGCTTCATGA